CAACTGCCGATTAATAGACTTTTTTGCCGTATGAGTATACGTTGCCCAGGGTGCACCACGTGGAGGTAAGTCTATCGCACACCCCAACTATTATATATATGATTGGAAGTAAACACTCAACCCACCCGCCCTCTATGTAATCTACGGGAGGAAACGGAGAAGACCCACCTGATTCGATGTCCAGCCCTAAAGACAACGACGGAAAGCAAGAGATACTGGGAAGCAAGAAGACGGCTAATGAGCTGCTATTAATTAACTGCTATATATGTACCCATACCCATGGGGGAAGCTGAAGCCAAAGTTTAAGGGCTAATGATAAATATCACAAATCCTGCCATTTGAAATAATAATAATATATATGTCTTTGATTCCCTAATAGGAACGACTGCCGAATTGTCAATTGCGTGACCAAAACTTACGCCAATCACTACTAAATCAAATATTTTGATATAATATGGATATTTACATCATCAGTAGAAGTTATTATTGTCTGTTTAGTATGTAAAAACCTCTCTGTAATGTGGAACTTTAGAAAAAATTGAATGTCATGCGATTTTCATCTAGATTCGGCCATAGAAGCAATTAAGAACTGCCTTATTTGATGGAATAAATGAAAAAAGAATCTAATGAAGCTCAGACACCTCCAATAGAGACGTGTCAAATATTTAATTGTTTCATATGTTAAATACAAACTCTAAACCGCAGAAGATATTACTTTCTTTGTTTCATTTCACTTGTAACATGGCACTTAGTCGATTTCATTTACATTGTTCTTAATAATGAAAATGTTCAAGATAATTAAAATATTGCTCCTAGACTACAAATGGAATGCGGTGTTAGTCTTAATATTTTACCGAAGTGAAGAAGAATATTAGTGACTAAATATAAACATGAAATATGGGACGTAATTCTTCAGTTTAATGCTCGTTAGTGAAAATTCAAAAAACCGTATATAACAAGAGAAAATGTGTTTAGTTCCACAATTGAGGTTATACAAATTAGAAGACACAATATTGCAAAAATATAAATTAATAGTATAATGTAAATAATAATAATAATAATAAATTAATTTAATAGAACGCGGGTTCCGCACACTCAAGCAGTCAACCATTGATTGTCACATTTTTAAATCTATTACCTATGAGTTAAAGAATATCCACCCCACCCCACTCCCCCAAACAACAACATTTTTCACGGTTAAAGAGCAGCCAATTTTAAGATAAACCATATTTATATGATTCTGACTCGTTAATTTAATACTGAGAGTATTTGGCAAAAATTTCAATGCATGATTTCGAATGCTACTCATAATAATCTATCAAGAATATTTTCCAACTGCGAAATTTTACTAAATTAATTTGAAACACAGAAAAGAAACATAACACGAGCATTCAATTAGGAAAGCATGACTGATTATTATTAACCAATATGATTATTAAGGCCTCTGTTGTGTTTAGATTAAGTTACAACATACTTCATTTTATGCTTTTATATAAGAAATTTAAGTGTGACGTGACTCGCAACATTTATCAAATTACTCACCAGTAGATACCAAAAATTTGAGGGTGGAATTACGCTTGTAAAATAAGAGAACCACAATGACATTTGAATTTTTGTTCTGGAAATATTTAATTAAACATTTTATCGGAATTTTATATGGTTAAAAATATGGGATAAATTTCAAAAGCAAAACATGAAATTGTAATTCAAAAAAAACAATGTTTAAAAGGCATTTTGAAATTTCATTCCAGCCCACACCACTTTGAAGTTATTAACAAATTATTTCACTTTTAACTACATTATTTAAAATTGATACAGTGAAGTATAAAAAGATTAAGTATAACTTTTGTCATATTCTTACATTACAAATAATCTCTTGATAGAATGAATGAAATGGAAATTTTAAGGTATGATATTGAGTTTTTAGGTATCTCTGATAAGAAAATTGCTTATTGTTCGTTCCAACTGATCGAATTTGTTCCTCACAGTCATAGAAGGAGCTAAAAGACCCTTCCACTATCAACTCAAATCACCTTTGGCTTTAGAAATACCAAAGTAATCCACATTTTATGACCAATAATTCATCTTAACGAAAAGTCTATGAATGTAGTGCCCACGAAATCACTTGAGTATTCAGGAGGATAATTTCTGACACTTAGTTTGTACTTCAATATTTGGGTCATTTTTTGCTGTTGATCATTTTCATTAGCATCTAGGTCACTGTGTTCTCCTATATCATTTCCTTTGTGTCATTTCAAATATTTATTTATTTCAAATGGCAGGCGTTTTGATAATTATTATTAGCTCTTCATTTCAAATACATAGCATAGGCTACTTCAATTCTTCAAAAATCATTTTGTTTCAATTTGTAATTTGCTTAATAAAGCAACACGGGATTAAAAATGATGTTGGATTATAGTTAAAAAATACTCGTAAAAAATGCCTTAAGTTTAAATGACAAAAACTTTTTTAAGTTTTTCTTTACTTCGGAAAATGTGTAAACAGCCTCATTTTGAATATTTCCAAGTTTACAACTGTAGAGAACATTTCAACTGTCACCATGTCTAACTTCACTCGTAAACTTTTAGTTCCAAGATATCAAAAAAATAAAAAAATATCTTTTAGACGAAAAATTCATTATGAGACGTGGAGAGCCATTTTTACCCAAGATTAAGTGATTAAAGCAAACAAATTTTATTTACAATATTTTCCCCTGATTCTATTTTTGCAATAAATTCATTGATTGTCCTCTCAAATAATCTACCTCCAAATTCTAAATCTTTATATTTCTGACATGCAAAGTCGATGAGCATTATAATAGATTGCATATCCTCTCTTGCTATTTAAAGGATACTACTTATAAATATGTGAGATAGTACTCAGTTTCTTAGACAAATATCCGCCGACGACCTTGAGTGAGAAATTGAAATTTTAGAACGTAAACTCCGGCCAACTCCTGCAATTAAATGAATTGAGATGTTTTGTCTTTTTAATGGTGAAGGGGGGAATTCCATTGACCTAAATCGATTTGAAATACTACTAGGTTAGGCATGGATACTTTATATAAACACCAGGAATAACCAAGTCGTCGAAATCAAATTTTTCCTATGGAATAACGCTAAATCAAGCTATTTAAGACGTAATTAAAACCCCCTTTATAACATTTATTTAATTTAAAGGTTAATTACTACTTCATTTGCATTTAATTTGCTGGAATGACAATCTGGTATTAATTTTAAGATACTTTGATCATTTAGAAGATGAGAGCTATTTCTAGAAAATCATTATCCTACTGGAAAATATAGAGCCCAATAAAACCAGGTATAGAAATTTCAATTTGATAATTAAGCTTCTTTTGCTTAATTCGATCATTAAAAGACATAACAATAAAGAAATGAAGTTGATCAAAATAGGCTTATAGTCGCATTTTTAATGTTTTGTCTAAGAATGTTATATTTTCGTAGGTTCTCTCAACGTCTTCCACCAGTCTGGCAATCTTTTGGAACTGAAATTCAATGACTTTTTTATCTCCTTACATAAGAAATATAAATACAATAAGTATTGTCGTATCGGGGTAAACTGTGGTCTGGTGTTATTTAGAAGGTATATTCTTCAGTTCGGATGAAATTATACTTCCTAGTCTTGTAGCATATAACAGTGATACATTGCGAAAATGTACAACTGAAACAACAATTTCGGAAATACTTCATATCTCTAACAAATTAAAGTTATTAGCTGTTTGTCAACCACTTTAGCTCTTACGATATTTTGTTAAATTGTCAATATACGAAAAATTCGAGATGCATAATACTAAAAGTGAAGCAGTAGTTAGATTTGGAAGCCTAATGCAAAGAAGTGTGTTAAAAAAGTCGACACAGATTTCAGCTCTTCGACTGGGAACTTTTTCTGGTTCTACTACTCTACTTCTGTTCATATCAAAAACTTCAAACATGTTTTCAAACCTTACTTTAATCTTAAAAATGTTATATCAGCTATTGGCTAAGTGAATTGTTTACCAATCATTATCATTGAAACGGAATTATGAGCACAGTTTGATTTTTTTTGGAATCTTTAAGCACTTTCAAATTCCCAATAAGTTCCATCTGAACTAATTTGAAAATCGATAAAGTAAAAAATCGATTAATTAAAACATGCAATTTTGAAACAGCGACGATTTCGTTCCAAATTGGAGTAAATTCAATATTCTTAATAGGATCACAGTCGTGTACTAACATCGTATCCTTGAGGCAAATCCCCTTTTCCAGATCGCAAATTAAGATGGGAGATACCATTGGCCATAAATAAAAATTATTTCAGGCATATTCTCCCCTTAAATCAAATCACAGATTAAATTCATTTTTATAAAATTACAAATAATTAGCATAGAGAATTTAAATTTTAATATGAATTGAGTTGATTTATACCTAATGACCATTTATAACCTAACAAATTTTATTTTATTTTATTTACTTAGAATAGAAGAAACTAAATTTATTGTATAATAATTTAAACTGTGGATAACTATCACCACAATTTGCTGAATAATTTTAAAAAATTTATTTACATGTTAACGAACCAGTGTAGATTTGCAAAATCATTGCATATTAAATAACAAATGAAAATAAAATGATTGGTAATAGCCTTAATTATTAAAATCGGAAATTAAATATGGAACCAAAAGTAAATGGAAGCATATCTTACCCTCTTCTGTTCATATTTGATGGCTAATTTTAGTCGATCTAATCTCAGCGGCTGGGAATCCGACTCGGATCCACTGTCGTCATAAATATATCCCGTTTCCGCTTCATCTTCATCATCCTCGTAAAGTTCTTGAGAATCTTGTGAGTCATCCATGTTTTTACCCTCCTTCGAATGTTCCTGTTTCTGTTGTATATGATTATCCATGTTTGCAAAATCATCAACAAAGGTATACTGACTGTCAAACCGCTGTGGTGGGTGGAATTCTCCCATCTCGAAGGAATTGTCCAAATGATAAGGTCTAGCATGCCACCTTCTTGAATGACTTTTAGTCACTGTTGTAGTCCTACGAAGGGCTGATTTCTCCTGTTCTTCTTCATCTCCACTACATTCCTCAATACTCGTGTAAATGTCCTCATTGTTTGAGGATCTGCTTAATACCGCGAGAACTTCTTCCTTACTTCTACACTGATCTAAAAGGTCACAAGCATATTTCCTGCACTGATCCGATAGCTGCAAAAATACCTCTTTGAATTCATTCTCCCTGGATGCTAGGTGATTTAATTCCCATGATAATTTGAAAGCGGCCAGAATGGGATCTGGTGATGTGAGTGATATCCAAGCTGGACTAGCCAGAGCTCTGTAGGTATTTATCCTCCATAGGGAATATTTTAACGAATCTTCTTTGTACATAGCTGAGCAATCGCTACAACTGCAATTTGACCTGTGAGGTCTTTCAATTCTGGCACCTCGAGAGAGTAGAAGTTGCAAGATTTCAAACTGATTGCAGATGGATGCCAGAATGACGGGAGAAATATCGGCAGAAAAATCATGACTTTCTTCAGACAAGCTAATTCTCTTTGACCAGGATGTACTAAGCATCTCTTTAGTAATGGAATGATGATCGATTAGCATCTCTACAATCCGATATACTCCTTCTTGTACCGCATATAATAGGGCGTCTCCTATTCTTATATTCGGCTCCTTTAGAAGCAATTCCACAATTTCAAAGTTTTCATTATCGACGGCGATTTGAATTGCAGTTCTTCCAAGCATATTTGTACAGTTAACATTAACGGGCTGGGGACATTTTAGACATCTTGCAACCGTAGACTTATCACCACGTTCAACAGCATCGAGAAATATTCTTGCCAGGGGATGAGATTGTCCGGAATCTTGCACAAAATTCGATGAAAAGCGTCCGAATTTGTAAGACTGGGTAGAAGGAGGGTTACTATTTGCATTAGCATCGTTTTTACTAGGCATTTTGGTATTGGTTAGAGATGAGCAACTTTGATCGGGTGACCTTGAAAACCAATCTGTTGGCGTTGTACGCGTGGGGGGTAGTGGAAGAACCTTTTGATCGGTACCTTCACCAAAATTAGGTACTGTTTTGGCCTGAAGAGAAGATTTTCCACTAGAGTTTTTTATGTTACTGAACTGCCTTCGAATCGAGCTCTCACGAGAAACCCTATCAGTTCCAAGAGTGGCTGGCAAAGACGAGGAACAACGTTTTTGACTGGGGTCTTGCATTTTCTCACCGGAAGGATGCATTAAAATTCCAATTTCTGATGCTTCCGAAGTGTTAGTACTATCATTTGTACGTGAAAGATTAGTAGGTAGACCATCACCTGTTGTTGGTGCCTCCATTGTTTTAGGTATCACAAAAACAAAATAATAGGGGAAAAAATAATTTGAAAAATAGCAATATATGGGACTGTATTTCTCTTAAGCATACTAAAGTAACTTATTTAACAATAATCATTCTGACGTTCGCGCGTCTCTTTGGATCTCTCTGATTGGTTGGTCTATTTCGAACAGATGATTGGCCGAATATTTCTATTAGGATGGTCAGAGTACTACTTTACTTCTAATTGTTTGACTATACCGGCCATGCTTGATAAATTTAGTCGCGAAAGTAATTTTAAATATAGTTATTTATCTTTAAAGTAATAAAACCATCTCTAATGAATTATAAAATATTTATTTTGCCGAATATCAAGCGTGAGTAATTCCACACATAAATCGTTGTTTTAATACAAATATTCTCCATTATAAGTTGATTTAAATTTATACTAGCCCACCTAAATAGTCGTAATGGTACAACACTGCCATAACTTACGATTATACAATTGTTTCTTAAGATCCGTTTACCAATAATAAATACTGATGTATTATCGGTTAATAGCTCACCTATAGAACAGGTCAAGTTATGAAACTCTAGCTTCATTTTTCCTTGATCTAATATCCACGTGCTCGCGTGATCGGCTTTGTTTAGACGATATGAACTGCTCAATTCCATTGAAGATCATTCCATTTCCTTAAAGTTTGAGAAAAAACACGATTTGAACTGTCAATATCGACTACCTCAATGAAGAAACAAGTCAACATGTACTGAAGAAAAATTTCGTCAGGAAATTTAAATTTCCTATCGAAATAGTTTAGTTTAACACAAATACAAAATCGAATAAAATGTAACATTTCTTGATACCTAAATTTAATTTTGAAATCATTTGGGTCCCCTTTCACTATCAGCCATTTTGCTCAGTGATTGGAAATCCCATATGCTTGATCGCAAATGAAAACTTTAACCCATTTTCGCACTGATGCATACTTTACTGATGATAGATGCAATAAAATTAAATGAACTTTACCAACATAAATCAATATTAATATTCACTATTTGGTTTTGCAGTGGTCCAGCACATCGGCATTAACTAAGTCCAGTGCCCGTCAAAGTGATAAGTATGTAAAAATTAAATTTTCGAGATAAATTCACCTTTGCATACTCAAACCTCTTTATACCCCCTTCGTGAACCAGGTGTCAAAAGTACCTAGCCTTGATGACATATGAGAAAGACCAATATGCTGTTTAGCACAGGAGCTATCGCAATTGGAATCGACAATATCCTCCACCCCTCCCACCTCCCCTCCCTCGCCCTTTCATGCCCACGTGTCTGATGCTATGCGTCCGATAGGTGAAAAGTTGACCTCTCGTGCTCCTATGTCTGACAACCAGCAAATTTTCCCGGTCTCTATTGCATTTCTCGCCTCATTTTTGTTTGTTTTCACATTGAAAGGGAGGTTGAAAAAGGGCAGACTTTATTTATTTATTTCAAATGGCAGGCGTTTTGATAGTTATCATTAGCCCTTTAGATGACTTCAAGCTTCACAGAGGGGAGGAGGAACATCAAAGTGAGAAGAATTCGGGAGGGGGGAATAGAAGAATGATTTATAGATGCAAAAGAGACAGACAGACACAAAGGCTTAGAAAGGGTAACATGAGTACTATGATAGGATCGAATATGACATACAGTGGAGGTGGTGGTTGCTTGAAGTGAGAAGCCAACTGCCGGTTAATAGACTTTTTTGCCGTATGAGTATACGTTGCCCAGGGTGCACCACGAGGAGGAAAGTCTGTCCCACACCCCACGTATGATAATATTAATGAAGACTAAAATTATTGTAA